AAAAAAATGCAGCAAATGCACGTATGTCTAAATTGGAAAGCGTACGCGTAATCGTTTGAGGTCTGCAAGATGTTTGGGAAGGACATCTGACTTCTAATTTGTTATTCAGAATGCCTTTGAACTCTACATGAAGGAACCTGTCACAATTGTGCGAATACTGCCTAGATCTTGCTTTCCTCTATGAAAGATATGTTTTCTACAATTTTTACCCATCCTGCCGCTAGTGCGTCATCAATCTTAGAGCAATCTAGTCGTACCATTGATATTCAAGTAGTGATTTATAAAACGATCTCACGTCCCTTCTCGTAGGGTGCACTATATGCTAGAGGGTCACCTGCAGACGCTACCGGTATGCGCTCACGACTATGAGCAGATTTTTGCAGATGACAACAAAACTACGCAACCTCGTGAGGATGACTATGATGAAGAAGAAGACGTAAATGATGGAGGTGGGAATCACTTCTCTGACACGATTGCAAGAATGCTAATTGCATTTTTCAGCAGAAGAAAATTCCAGTGCTATGCCGCCGCGTGAGGAAGCTGATGGTGATAGCTCATTAAATGAGCGAGTACTCGTAGACGATGGAAGTAAGTGCACCTATCAAAGCCGCAGAAGAGGTAAAAAGTTTCCAGATAGCTACGACATGTCGCCTCGCAGAGATTTCCATGGTAAGAGGTTATTCGTAGACGGGGAGAGTACCACCCAGCGATCTATGGTTGCAGGACAGCTAGGTAGATTTTTAGATAAAAGAGACTACGGTAGGCCACCTCGCAGAGATTTTGGTGGTAAATGGGTATTCGTAAGCGATGGCAAATGGGTATTCGTAAGCGATGAAAGTAAGTGCATATAACAGCTCACGGCTACAGGACGAGCTAAGTAGATTTTTCAGATAACAGAGACTACGGTAGGCCGCCTCGTAAAGATTATCGTGGTAAACAGGTATTCGTAAACGATGAAAGTAAGTGCATATAACAGCTCACTGCTGCAGGACAGCTATAGGGCATATCAGCCACCATCGATCGTGGGTAACCAAGGAACGAGGCAGCGTGCGGGTGGTGCGAGCGCAGGAGATTGCACTCCGAGCGCGGAAGGCGGTATATATCGCGCGCACTCGCGACCACAATCAATTTCTTCTGCAATTTTCTGTTGTTTATTTACTTTGTCATGCGTCTGTTCTCCTCCAATGTACCTGCCTTGTCTATGCATCTGATTTTAAGTCATAGGAAGACGTTCTTTTGAAGGAAAGTTTCGGAGCAATAACATTGTATGTTGTTGTCTTCTCAAAAT